TTTCTTATGGTCAGTCTTTTAACAGAAATTAATACAAAGCAAGACTAAAACAGATCCTGTAACTGAGCAAAGGCTTCGAAATTACCACTTTCCTTTTTCTGTCCTGTTATCCATGTCTCCGCTCAGTAACACTGTGTCTGTTAAGCTGCCAATAAAATAACACAAGAGACAGTCCAGGGTCGTATCAGGAAAGGAACCGATACCATCAAGTCTGCCCAGAACGAAGCTCAACCTGAAGTATCAAAATTGATACTGACTCACAGAAGGTTTTCAACTATGCTATTATCTATTTTCTCTCTCTCTTCCTTGAGGAAAAAAAAAAAAAAAAAGGCATTTTAGAGTATTTGAAGGTTTTTCTGCTCAGTGTAAGCGCTCTCTCTGGAGATTTAAGTCCAGTAATACAGATAACATCTTTAGAAGTCTGCAATTAGGATGAGAAATATTTTTTTGGTTTTGTTTTGTTCTTAGAAGAGCCCTAAGAAGATTTTAATTCTTTTCAGAAGAATTCTAATCTTAGAATTAATCTAAGTTCTGAAACATAGGATTTTACCTTCCAGAAAGAAGCCCCATGTCATTGAACTGCACTAAGAGTGCCCAACTTCAGACTAATAAAAGAAAAAAAGATTTTTCATAATACTTACTGCTGGAAATGTTTTTACTAAAAAAAACCCAAACCCATCAATTACACAGAAATGCACATGGCAAAAACTTTTAGTTTAAAGAAATCATGCTAAACGCTATAAGCTTATTAAAATAAATAAAATTAAAAAGCCTGTGACAGCAGGCTGTGAAGCCTGTTAAGAGAACGAAACATTTTATACCATTGGAATAACTCTTTTGACTATTTATTGGTGAAATTTTATTTTCAAGAGTTATTAAAGGCTTTTGGCAGTTAGCTGCCCCTAACAGCTGTGTTATGGAAAGAAAAAATAAAATGAGAAAACTTCATATAATTAAGGTGTTCCAGATGATCAAACTCACTGGCAATTCTTTCCATGATTCAGTTACTTATTGACATAAAAATGCTTATTAGAGATATGAACCATCAGATAAGACAGCTTGCCACGTGTCTTGGTACTAAAACTTTGCTGATTTAGAAGATAGTGCTGCTTCAATTCTCCTCCTGTTTTATGGTCTTATATATGTCACTAGAACACAGTACTAGGCAAGAAAAGTCCATAGGATATAATCTATTACTGCTTTCTCATACTCAGGAAGTTATATAAGAAGTGAAAGACAGAAACATTATCTCCACTATAAACTCTCCTATGTTTTTTTATTACCTATTACAAACATTCCAGATACCAAGAAGTCGTGGAAATTTTTATTTTTGTTCTCTTCATATTACATACTTGTGAGACAGCTCCCACTATTTTGTCTCAATTCTCTCCCACAAAACATCCCTCCTAAAGAAAGGAAGTTTTGGTACTGTTTCCAGAATGATGAAGTTGCCAAAACTCAAACTTAATTGAAAATAGCAACGGAAATCTAAAAAAATAAATTGTTCCAACTCTTCAAACTGCAGAAATAAACAAAGTAAAAGGAACAGAAGAGTTAGTTCTCCGTGTCAAAGACGCTTGCACTTATGAGCCATAAAGTAAATATGTTTGTTTAGCATTCAAAAAGCGTCAGCATGCTGATAATGGCAGCTAAGACAGAATGGCTGGTGACAATCAGAACAACAACAACAAAACCTCTATTCCATCAAACTGCAAACCAAGTTAAAAGATTTTTGCTTTCTAAAATTGGAAAGACTATTTAGAAACCCTTTCAAAAGTTCTCACGGTTACTCCGTATCCCTGGTATATCTACATAGCTCACAAATAGTAATTTTCACCTCACAACAGTTATGTGGAAAAGAGAGTTTTGCACTGGAACTGCAGCATTACAAGAACAAACCTTTGATACTACCTTATTAAAGCACAAACTTTATTTTGTCAAAGGGTCAACGGTTATTTGCCTATCTTTTGTTAAACAGAAAGGATTCGAGAAAATACAACAGAGATTGAAGAGAGTTTGCTACCAAACTTACCATCCCTGTTACGAATGTGCTATAAGCATCACAGACGGTGGTCTCTGAAGTAATATTAAAACTGTATAGAAAACGCCCACTGAAGAGGTTTGAATACCAGGTAGTACTTGAAACAAATTTATTCCTTGTATTATGAAAGATAATCTCAACATATTCATACATAAAATACAACTCTAATGGAGAGTTTCAAGATGTGTTAATTTTAAATTTTTACTTAAATATTCTTAAACATTTAATTTTTGGCAAAGTTTTGCTTTGTCAATTCTGATACTTTATACAGAAAAATTAGGCGTGTTTGCTGAGAAGGATATAAACACATCTTTTCTCTATGAAAGAATAAGTTTGTTTTTAAAGAAACTTTTTTTTTTTTTTTTTAGGCAGTAAATACTAGCTTCTCTAATTTGCCAAGACACTTGGAATGTACTGCAATTCTAAGCACACATTACAAAACATACCTTCCTAACATCTGAGCTTTTAGGTTCTGTGGTCCAGGTGATGATTCGAGACACTGCTAACCTAGTTTCACTTGAATTTACAAAATCTCCTGGATCCATCTGTTGCGCAAGAGTCTCTATGTATTTAAGGATCGCAACTTTGACCTGCAAAGAGAAATAGAGTCAAGTGGACAATAAAAATGGTGCACCGCAAGAACAAGTGTGCTCACAGAGTGTTCATTCCCTAAAATAAAGAGGATTCCCCCCCCCCAATTAAACTAAACATCTTTTCAGCATTGAGATAAAGCTCTATACAATGAATCAATTTACAAATGGATATAACATTTCAAGAAGGGAGTTATTCCACAGAAATTCAAATATTAATAGAAACCTTAGATTTCACTGGTAGCAACTAAAAGATACACAAATCATTGCATATGCAGAAGCTTATATTTAACAAAAAGAAAATGAAAGCACTCAGGATATTTAAGACTATTCAGGATTTTAAAGAATTATTCAGAATTATTAAGAACTTTTTTCAAGTACTAAAATGAAAAATGAACATCATCTGATGAACCAATAATCAGTTCCTATTAGTTCCTACCATGTAGTTAACACTCAGCATTCTTTTATAAAACACCAGATTTCAGGAGTCACTATCTTTGGGGATAAGCCACATGAATCTTCCCATTAAATATTAAAAATGTATGGAATAGAATTTCTACAAAAGACTTAGAAGGGGTCACATGCACACTTTTCCTTTGAAGATATTTAGAAGATAGAGACATGGATTTACCAGGAAGATGGAAAAAGCTGCTTTACTCCCTCATTTATCTGAGCATCACTCTCCTACTCCACTAACTCCCTCTACTCCTTATGTAGAATTACTGTTTTATACATCCCAGACTGCAGCCTCTCTCTAGTTTCTCTGAAATTGCACCACTGCACAGCTTTGGGCAAAGGGCTATTATGCCTATATCTCCCTTAAATATTTATCTCCTCAACTCCTGCTGCTTCAGAGATTTGTCATGCAACCTGTCAACAAAAGCGGTAAACATTTACTTAGGCCACCTATTTGACTTAGCTGCTTTTATTTCCATTAACAATTACAGTGAACCAGAAATACCTACCAGGAGGGAGACACCTATGTCCATCATAACCAGAAAGAAAAAAAGTTCTGGGTGTATTTTTAATTGTTCATGGCTTGTAGTACAACTGTTCCGAGCAAAGCTATTTAGAAATTTCCCTTGGTCATCAAAACTTGCAAGCTATTAAAGACTCAAGATACACTAAGTGACACACACATTAGTCATAGCTGGTACATGTAGATTAATAATGAATACTTCATTTTCACAGCAGCTGTTAAAGCTCAACTTCTCCAAAGTTATGCAACAAGCAACAGCTGGAGGCTTTCATCTCATGCAGATCAATATCAACAAATGCAGTAAAAACCACACTATTTGCTAGATTCTTTCCAAGGAAGAAAAACCCCACAAACATCTCCACAGCAAAAAACCTTAAGGCTACATGGTTTTCCAAATACAAAGTAATAAAGTTAAAATTTCTAGATTACCAAGTGAAACCATTATGACAGCACTATGTTTCACTGTTTACAATTTAAATAGTATCACACCTTAAAAAAAAAAATTACTGTTAGGAACTGTAACACTTAGAACATTCAGAGGCATTTCTCCCAGTGAAAAAATTCTGGAGTACTGTATCTGAGAGAGCAGTATTATTTAGTGTTTAAATTACTCCCACAGAATAAATTGCACAGACTTCTGGAAAGACGAAGGCTCTCAGGAGACAGAAAAGCACTGAACAGAAGATGAATGGAGAGAGTTCACACTAATAAAGCTTTTCACAGTGACACAGATACCCAAAGCTAAATTTGACAGCTGTTTTGAAAGAGAGTTTTTCATGAACTGCTTTTGAGAGAAGAAATTCTGGAAGGGGTACCCTTCTATGCGCAAATATAACGAGACAGTATTGTTACAGATAAAAAAACCCACCCTGAAGTAAACTCCGTAATAGCAGCAAATCTACTTGTGATGTATTTTTGTCACTACTTCCAGCAAGTATGTACAGGGTTGAGATTTAGAAAGAAAATGTCTAACATAGTCCTCTTCAACAATCCATTTAATCTCTCCGAGAGAGGAGATTAACAATTTTTGACTGCAATGAAAGCAGCCCCAGTGGTTCTTACAATGAATATTTGCTGTTAATCTGAAACCACTGTCTATGAAGTTGTTTAATACTGTCTTTCTTTGTACTCTCCTAGGATGCATTTATTGTACTTTTGCTGGACTATAAACACGGAGACATTTTTCCTGTAGAGCATAAAACACAGACATTTTGTTTATGAATAGCGCTGCTGTAGTGAGCTGAAATATAGATCAAGCCACAATTAGCACTATTACTCGCAAAAAAGATTAGACATAAATAGAACTAAAGTGCTTCATAAACATCTTTCACAGATAATGAAATGACAAATTCTGGCACAAAAATATGTGCAACTACCTCCAGAGATTCAGGAAATACTGTAAGGGTGCTACATAGTCAGTGCCAGAAGGCAAATGGTTTTTCTGTCCTGTGAAAAAGTTGCGATTTACAGATTTTCATTTGCTGCATCAGAATAAGACAAAAGAAACATTTCATATAACAGGAAAAAAGAAAAAAGGAGAGAGGAACGTAGAGAAGCTGCTTCACTTAAACTAGAAAAAAGTCCATCTCTTACAGTGCTTTCCTGGGATGCGAGAGACTCTACTCTGCCTTACTCAAACTGAATACAAGCAATCACGCAAACTGACTTTCAGATTGCCACATGCCAGGTGTCTGTCCCCAAGTTACTGGACACTTAGGAGCGACTCCCTCTGCCATTATTTAATCAAATGACTAAAACATACACTAAAGAGGAACTCTGAAGGGTGCTCTTATCTCTGTGAATCTGTGTTATTGGTTGGTTGGATTTTTTTTAATCCAGAAATTTTAATACAGACTTAGGGGAAAGAAAAAAAAAAATCTTCTGATCAACTGTGGCAAAAACCTTTCTCAAGAAATCAGTATTTTCAAAGGAAAGAAGGGCTCAGAAACTTGTAATGAACTTTGGTCACAATGCTTCAATCAATTCCTTACTGAGTGTGAGCCATTTGACATTCAACCTAAGAAACATGAAAGTGATGATTTGAAGTGTATTTCAGGACAACACCTATCCTTTGCAAAGCTTATGTTCTGCACCTGCAAAAATAAGCTTAACAGATTATATCCCGTCTAGAAAATTTGACTCCTATGCCCATCCATACATTTGACCAAAATAGATACATACATCTGGCACCTCTAAGCTGTGCTTCAGCAGTTCACCACACCTACATGTAAAATTATAGCAAAATAAATTAAGATACATACAGCACAATACACTGTGCTGCATCCTCCATGAATTAGGTCGGTAGAATTACATCTTCTCGATGCTTGGTTCTCTTACTGGCTAGCTATCCAAATCCACCTCTGTGGCCACTCTAAAAGCTTGACTTTTATTGTCTAAGACTTAGCTGTGTTTGTAAGTGTACAAACAAAAAATGACAGTTTACTCTAAAGGCTCATGATTATTTACTACTACCACATGAAAACCAGAGGGAAAAGTCATTTGTGGAAGGGAACCCTTCCATGGAACAAATTTCTGACCTATCATCCCTTCTCATATCTGACCATCTTTAAGGATGCTGAAAATCCTTTCTCTGATCTTTCCCCTCACAGTGAATGATGTTTCTCAGTGTATCTAGCCCAAAGGCACACTCTGCAACAAAATAATCATTTATCAGAGTTAAGGACAAAAGCTGAAGACTTCAAGAAATGGAGTAGTGCCCTAGGATTATCACTTAATCTGTTAGACATCTGGGTGCACTGAGGATGGGATTTAGACAAAATATTCAAGAATGTGGATATTAAACAGATACTTCTCCAATTTATGTTCAATAACTTTACTGTCTGGATCCTGAAGTTGTAGTTACCTCATAAAAATAGAAGTAGGGGCTAGATACCACTTTCTTCTGGAAAAAAGTTTACCTCCTCTTAAACAGTTACATACTTTACTGTCCCAAAAATTAATTTGAAATACTCTTGATTTTATTTCAAGCTAACAGGTGTTCTTCTATGGAGGTAGTTTTTACCAACATCGTGATTTCAGAAGTCTCTCTCAAATACTGGAAATTATTTTCAGAATGTTTTCCCATTAAGTGTTTCAGATTTCTTAATTCCTTCTAGGTTGCATAGTGAATATTCTTGAACTTAGCCCCAACTCAGCCTAGTAGGAGTCCACGTCTTGTTCCAAATCTACACTTTCAACTTCGAAACATGATAGATATGTGTTTACCAGCTATACTACTGCATGGAAAGAAAAGAACATCTCAACCATTAAATTCACCTTCCTGGGGAGGAAAACCAAGTAAAACAAAACCAAGCCAAATTTGTTCCAAGGATTTATTTAAACAACAAACTGATTTTTACTACCTCATTTGCTGTCTTCAATAAATGACAGCAGTCCCTTTTTAACACAGCTCTACGAAGCAACAGTGGTCAACGTATCAACTGTCCTCAAAAGCTTAAAAATGTAAGTTTTACTGTATTGTAGACAAAAAAGGCATATTCATGTGACTTTAAGTTCAACATAACTTGGGAAAAGTCATTCTTGTGCAGTATCAAACTATGTAAAAATATTTCGTGCAGGATAGAGCAGAAAATGCCAGTTATCATATGCTTGTTATTTCCCCATTTACATCTCTTGTAAATCTTCTTAGGATTTGATACATTTATCCTAAAATCAACTCTCTTTGGAACTGTAAATGTACTACAGAATACATTTTTACTTTTCAGTTATACTGGCAGGTCTATGGACTACAGATTTTATGTAAAAATGTGTGTAATTATAAAGCTACACACTGCTTTCAGAAAAGTGTACCACAAAGGGAGCTGATTTTTAATATAGGAACTCAAATTCATATTAAAGTAATTTATATTAATTCAATACCTATCAGGCTGAACACAGGACAAAAATATATATGAACTAGGAAAACACGATTGGGAAATCACAAACATAAAATTAGAGAAGACTTGATAGAGTGAGTTTGCATAACCAGCTTGATGTTAGGCGGCCACATTTTTGTTGCTCATTTTTACTGTACTGTGGTTTTATTAGATCTCTCTTGCAGCAAACATTTTCATACTAGCGTAACGTTTAAAATTGAACATCTGCATGCTTAAAGTTTCTCGCAAAGGTTAGTAGCAGCATACGAATGCATTCAAATAAAAATTATTGGAAACACTGTAAGTGTTTGACATAGGGTTAAGAATAAAGACAATAATTCAGACAAAAACCTTTGAGCTCCAAAAAGAGCGAAGCTGGTCCTGTAGTGCTGGCTTGACTGTCTGAAAGTTTACAAAAACAAAATCCACTAATTGAAAACCTTTTTTTTTTTTTTTAAGCCAAAATAAAAATAACAATCCAAATTCAGATATTAAGACAAGCAAATGTCTACCAATGAAGATTTTTGTTTGCAATGCAAGCCTGAAAATTCTTACCTTCAGGCTAGGTGTTTGGGTCTGGTCAACAGTAAATCTCATTAAAATACTGAACTGGAGGTCATTTGGAAAAGATTCCCTGTAAAACAAACAAATCAAATCGTGTTAAGTTACATGAAATTTTCTTTTAATACCTGTTGAGAGGCACTAAATAAGCCCTCACACTCTTTTTCAGTAAAGAAAAGCTTTATTGCTTCTGAAAGAAAAAAAATTTCTACCAGTTTTGTTGATACTGTATCTGACTTTCAGAAATATCCACCTAGCATGTAAAGGACAAAATTTAAGAAATTCCTGCTTTGAAGCAATTATAGCTAGAATAGATAATGCAAGTAAAAAGGAATGATATAGTAATCATATGGTAGCATTCTGATTCTAAATCTATGCAATCCCCAAATTATTATGCAGTAGTACTCCTAAAGGTACACACCACACCCCTCCTGCACGCTTCTCTGAACCATCCTGTTCCAGTCTGGCTGCCTCCACTCTCCCACATGCCACACTGTGGGTATGACTCTCAAGGGCTCTGCTGCAGCAGCAAAAAAGGTGGTGTAGCAGATGATAGTCCCTCTCTCCCCGCAACACACATCATACCCTTCCCCAG